ATGATCTCAGCTGGAAGTGATGAATATCAATAGTAGAAATCATTGTTTAGCATCTCCATAATAAACCACTTAAGCTTAAGAAATGGTTCCCAAATATTGCATCAAAATCACCTAGAGCACTGATTTCTAGTCGTACCCAAGACTTACTGGGTGTATCTGCACAGTATGGATGGCCTTTCCCGTATTCAGAATGGAGCCTGGGTGTTCCTCACAGGCAAGAATTAGACAAATTCATATGGAGCCCTTAGGAAATAAGAGTGTATTGGTTCCCCATTCTTAAGGTCTCAGCAGGACTGAAAGCTTTTTCCTCAAGATTCCTAATTGCATCCTTGATGTTAGGGCCTCAGGTCTCCAGCCCAGTTAAGGAGCAAGAGACTAGCAAGAAATGAATGCTTGCCATTACTTCCTAAGCAAGTTCCCCAAGTTTTTCTCCTTAAGAATATGTATAAATGTTATGACTGAAATCAGAGGTTGCAACTCAACTGCTTTCAGTAACCAGGCAGTGAAACCAGTGGCATGAAAGAAATCTTGGATGGTAAGGGCAGTGATTGAACTAGAAAAAGCATTCTAATTCGGTTAAAAAAAAAAAAAAAAGAATTGGAGGGCAAGTAAAAGATATCTTTAGGTCCATATGGCTGCCAAACCACCGTCTTGTTACTTCTGGATCTTCCTAAAAGGCAGATTTTTAAAATATATAATTTCTATCCTATCATTTATGGTCCACATGCATAGAAATTCTGCCAGTCTGTTTTCCACCACTATCATTTCTTGGTGGGAGCAGGGGGCAAAGGAGATGATGTTTTGTGGTGGGCTCCACCTTGTCTGATTTTTTGTTCATGTAGTTTCTCTTCTCTGGAGACGAGAAACTTCCTCTCTCAACCTATCCAAGTCTTAGATGAAGCCCCATCTTCTCCATAAAGCTTTTCCTGGCTATATGCATTCACCCTCGTTGAGCACATCATCACCTAGAACATTATAGTAATAACTTGGCATTTCATTCTGTATTACATTTTTATAGTTTTTATTTGAATTACTCTTTTTAAGTGTAAACATTTCCCGAGGACATAGATTTCTTATGTTCCTTGTATCCAATGATATTACTAGCATAGGGCTGAGCATATAATAAATGCTCATTAAATTCCTGTTGGTTAATTAGGTTAACCCATCCAGAAAAATATGGTAGCGGTCCTCTGTCCATGTGCACCCAGCCTAGCCAACAACTAAAGAGTAAGCCAACTTCTCAGAATTCCCTGGCCATAACCCTAGTTATTATGTGTGTGTACGCAATATTGTCACAAAGTGTGTAACCACATTTAACAAGAAAAGTGGCTGTACTTAGCCAGTACCTGTTTTGTTTACTTTATACTCATTATGTTTCAAATGCCTCCCATTAACAATATTTGAAAGGAATATGCATTTCATTGAGATGTTTTGAATATAACTGTAAATGGATGATTTATATACCTGATCTCTATAATTTATCTTGAAACAAGCCAAACCCAGAAATAATGATGTAGTACTCTGTACTTGATATCAATATGAATTATTTGCATAGAGTTATCTGAGCTCAGTGCAGCCAGACTAGGGAAGATTTAGTTAAGAATGTATAAATTTAGCCAATTAGGATCATATCATCAAGCTCTAGCTAGCATCAAGGTTCCAGACTGCATCTTTGGATGCAGTATTGCCAAGAGAGGAATGGCAGTGAAATTTTCTTTTCTGCCCTTTTTCAATTATAGGTAAAAAGCTTCCTACAACTGGAGAAGTGCACATCTGGGTGAAGGAATGTCTCGATCTACCTCTGCTAAGGGGCAACCATCTAAATTCTTTTGTTAAATGGTAACAGCATTGATAACTCTGCCTCTCTCATCTCTACCATAGCCCAGCCTTTGCTGGTTGGTTTCAAGCCTCCATACCTGTGATGCTGAAACTCATCATTCATGGTTTGAATGAAATAACTTAGGACAGCGGCAACACATTCTGGAAGGACCTGTGACATGAACCCCTAATTTGAGTTTTTAAGTGGCAAACTTTTTTCTCTGTTATACATGTAAATGCCTGGCATCAAGTCAGCAGTGTCTAAACAGCTATTAGTGTGCTCTCTTAGCCCCCCTGACTGATTTTATCTATACCTATTCTTTCAGAAGACCAGTTGTATCTGTTTAAGTTTATATGACATTATTTGTGACTTTCTCTCTATATATTATTCATAGATGTCAGCTGGTAAGATTTTTCAGCTCAGGGCAGTCTCTCATTCTGAGACAACTTTCAGACCTTCTTGTATTTATAAGAGGTATGGTAGGTTAAAAACAGAAAAGAGATAATCAGGACTAGATCATATTTCCAAATTTTAAAGGAATCCTCAAGCAATTGCTACCATGTTAAGCACTTACTAATTGAAAGCACTGAACTAAGTTGTTTGCTTCATATGTAATTATAACATTAACCTTATGAATTAAGTATCACCATTCTCATTTTAAAGATGAAGCAAGTGAGAGATTAAGTGACTTTTCCTACAATACACAACCAATAAATGGCAGAGTCAGGATTCAAAGCAAGTCTGGTCCACTGTAATGAAGAGTAATGAAGAGTACCTCCATTAGGATGCTGCCACCACTGCCACCACCACCATGACCACCCCCACCATGACCACCACAACCACTATCACCACCCCCATCATCATTGCCATCACCACCACGACCACCACCACCACTACCACCACCATGACAACCACCACCATCCCCCACCACCATGACCACTACCACCATCCCCATAATATTCTCCAACACCACCACAACTACCATCACCACCATGACCACCCCCACCATGACCACCACAACCACCATCACCATCCCCATCCCCATCATCATCGCCATCACCACCATGACCACCACCACCATCACCACCACCACTACCATCACCACCACCATGACCACCACCATCATCCCCACCACCATCATCCCCACCACCACCATCACCATCGCCACCACCACTGCCTCTCTACACTCTTTTTTTCTTCTATATCCTTCTGCCAGTCTTCACTAGCTGTGTTGAAGTACACTTAAGGTGTAAATGTTCACCATCTTAGTAAAATGCTTTCACAATGATTTCTTTTGTAGTATCATCCTTCCAGATACAAGTAGGAAAAGTCGCCAAAAGACAAGAGCTGTAGGGAAAACCACCAACCCTGTCTTCAACCACACCATGGTGTATGATGGTTTCAGGCCTGAAGATCTGACAGAAGCCTGTGTAGAGCTTACTGTCTGGGACCATTACAAATTAACCAACCAGTTTTTGGGAGGTCTTCGGATTGGCTTTGGAACAGGTAATGTCTGTTACGTTTTTAATTCTCTATGAGCCAAGTGCTTCTGGAGACAGTAGAGGTTTGTCTGCTTGTTGCTTTGCTTCTTCCTTATGAAAACAGATATTCTATTTCTGTTAAGTGTAATGAAATGAATGAATGAAGGAATGTCAGGCTGTATGCCAAGGGCTCTAGATATGAAGATTAACAGGATGTAGTGTCTGTCCACACAGAGCTTAAGTTAGAGTATGTGGGGGGATACAGAAAATCCTTCATCACTACTCTTCCCTGAAAAACATTTATATCCTTTTATGACTAAAAGGATGCTTTAAATAATGATAGCAATTAACATTTGTGGAGCAGTAGTCACTGTACTGAGTGCTTTGATTATATTATTTCATTTAATCCTCACAGAAATTCTATGAGTTGTTACTATGTTATCTCCAGAGGAACTGATGTTCTAAGAAATGAAGTAACAGAGCTAATAAGCATCAGAGCCAAGATTCAAAGTCGAGTCTCTTAGACACAAAACCCCAAACCACACTTCCTTAGAGATTATCTAGTGTCACCTCCATCCCAGTGCCAGGCCTCTTTCCTACTACCCCACTATGTCCCTGACAGATTGTCAGCTAGCTCAGGTGACTAAACAGCTCTTTCTTCGATTGAGCCCCAGATTTGCCCTCCTGGTGATATTAAAACGCTTCCTAGCTGTCTTCCACTGGTGATTATAATGAGGGAATGACCTTCCTCGCCGCCTCCAAAAAACAATTCCTTTCTAAATGCAAAGCTTCCTTTCTCTGCCTCCCCCCCCCCCCCCCAACCAGGTAAAAGCTATGGCACTGAAGTGGATTGGATGGACTCTACTTCGGAGGAAGTTGCTCTCTGGGAAAAGATGGTGAATTCCCCCAATACTTGGA